TTCATATATGTAGTGAATTTAAAGGTTCAACCACACCATTATTTTGTGTGTAAAATAAAAAATAATGACAATTAAAATAATAATCTCAATTGAAATAAATTTGCGCACATAACAGTGTTAGCAAATTCGCACTAGCAAGAAAAATGAGAAGAAGATAAAAGACGAGTACATAAAAAATTTATTTACCAAGTTCAATCAAACCAATATACTTTTAGGGAGTCGTCAACTCTCAAATTTATTATACTACAACAATTTTGAAGTACAAATGAGGTATAAGAAAATAGTCTTTCAAATTTCCAAGAACATTTCATATTTTCTATCCAAATGTTTCTCAATTTCTCCAACTCTCAATATATAAATCACAAATCAAATATGTTTAAAAGTGTTCCGCAATCACCTTTCATGCTTACAATGATCTTTCAATTTTCCGCCTTTGACCCTAAAACTCTCTCCATTTTCCTCTCTAAGTTTCTCTTATTAGAGCTACATCTCGATGACTCTCAACATTAATTCGTACAAACAAATGCAGAAAAAAAACCTTTTAAAGGTTTTAGACGAAACATATTATGTTTCTCCAAAACATGATGCACATCGACAAAACGCATGAACAAACTGCATTCCCTACAAACACACTCTGTTTCTTGAATGTATTGTATTCCTCCCAAATGTAATACGTTCTTGTAGACAAAAATTTAATGTTCTCAAGGTGATCTACATAACTTTCCACCTTGATATTGTATTGTAGGCACTGTATTCTTCTGTGTCCCCCCTATAAAAATCTAATGTTTTCAAGGCATTGTATTCTTTTGTGTCCCCTTATTGGGAAAATTCTTTTTTAAATGAATGATTTTTAAAAAAATAAAGCATTTAATAGAAGAATTAATTTTGACTTGTGGAAAATTCAAATCAAAGATGTTTTGATGCAATTTGTATGACACAAGACGTTGAAATGAAATATTTTCAACATGGACAACGAGAAGTGGGAGGAACTAGATTTTAGAACTTCGAGTATAATCCACATGTCTTTGGCTAAGAATATTCTTGCGAATGTTCTTGGTACGCTGAAGTCAAAGAGCTTTGGGAGAAAATTGAAGGGGTATATCAAAGAAAGGGTATATCAAATTATTTATTGGTGAATGAACAGTTTCATAACTTGTGTATGAATGAAAATACAAAAGTATCTGATCATCTAAGTGTTCTCAATAGTATTGTTTCTAAATTAGAAACTATTAGAGTCAAGATTGAAGATGAAGATAAAGTTTTGAGACTCATATGATCTCTTCCATCTTCTTATGACCATATTAAACCTATTTTGATATATGAGAAGGAAACTTTGAGTTTTGAAGAAGTTACTAGTAAAATTATTTCTAAAGAAAGAAGATTGAAGGGTGAAGATAATATTGCATCAAACTCATTGTTGGCTGCTAGAGGAAGATTTTATATGGGAAAAAAACGATGAAACAGGTGTGAGATGTTAGAACTGTGGAAAGATTATACATATAAAATATAAGTATCATGATGGATCAACAAAGAATGACAGTGAGTCAAATGCTAACAATGTCTCCCTTGTTGTGGGAGGTGGTGATCTTTTCTGAAAATTGAGAAGTGCGCCTTCTTGATATTTCAACAGTCGTGAAAAAAGATGAGCTATTGATAATGGATTAACACACGGGCATTGATGCAAAGTGTGTTGTTAGATTATATTGATGGTTGAAGAGCTTCCTACCAACATGAAAGTTGCACCATAAATTTTCAACTTGGTTTTCGACATGTGGAAATCCTTGAAGTGATTTAGCTTGAAGTAAAGTATATTTTTCTTTAGGAGGAGTATGATAGTTTTTAAAACTATGATTGTCGGTGAAGATAATGCAATTTTTTTAAAAGTGGTGTAGCTTCAAATGACTATACTCTTTAAGATGGAGTATGATTATCGGTGAAGACAATGAAAACTAAGGTATTATTTTCAATCAATGCAAGGTGAAGATTGTTTAGATTGGTTGAAAATATAGATGTTGAAGAAGTCTCACATTATTTAGTTTTGTGAAAGAGTGAATCCAAGATTATATATAAGATTCAAGTTCTTCAAAGTCTCACATCATTTAATTTTATGAAGGAATAGAGAGCCCAACTTTATATATAAGATTCAAGTTTTTTCTTACAAGATATACCAGTCAAAAACACTTTAAACTTGTATGTATTTGACTTTTTATATTTTCTCGTATACTCTTGTTTTAGAGTGTTGTGAGAGACAATTAAATATTTATTTTAAAGAGTGTGAGTGTATTGGAATTTTGGGATGATGAGAGTCTATATGCTATTATAATTTTTATATAATATTATTTTTTAGTTTTTATTTAACAACTGTCATAATTTTTCTCTAATTTTAAAGTTTTTACATTAATCATTTGTATTATTGTTGTGTTTCTCTTTTTCTCTATATTTTGTTTTCTTTCCAACAATAATAATAAGAACTTGAAACACACTAACCTTCTACTTGAAATGGTGACTACAATCTTAGTAAGTTTTGAACAATTCTTAAGCATTAACTCACTTTAACCGCATGTGACACTTCCTGACACTAGCAAAGAGTATACTTGTATGTTGTTTTAGAATATACCGAAAGAGTATATTGATAACATTCTATCTAGGGATGTAAATAAATATTTATAGGGAGAGATAGTATGATATATATATTTGTTTTGTTGGATATATATATATATATATATATATATATATATATATATATATATATATATATATATATATATATATATATATATATATATATATATATATATATATATATATATATATATATATATATATATATATATATATATATATATATATATATATATATATATATATATATTGCATCAAACAGATAATCTGCATATTTTTAAATATTCACGGATATGCACAGATATCCATGAATAATATTTTTTTTAAATTTTTTTTATTAAAAAAATATTTTCAACTTCTTTTAAAGACGCAATAAATTATTACCATATAACATTCATAAAAATTTCTTTTATTTTAATAAAAAAAATTATCAAATTAATTTTCTTCATTTTCGCTAAATCATAATATTCATATATTTTATTTTTTAAAAAATAAAAGATAATATGATTGTGAATTATGATGAAAAAACGAATAACAAATGAATAGAAAGTAAGATACCAATTAATCAGAGAAAATGATTGGTTGAAAGGTGGAATTATTGACGTAAGGTGTAAGGTAAAGAAAAAACTTAAATATTAAATAGTCAATATGATTCGTAAAAATGTTAAAGATTTTCTTTAAAGAAAACTAAAAAAATAAAAGAAAACTAAATTTTTAGAAGATGAGAAGATATAATATAATAAATTAATATTTAAGTAATTCTTATAATTTTATTAACGAATATTGATATCCTTGAATATTATATCATTAAACTCATATATATATATATATATATATATATATATATATATATATATATATATATATATATATATATATATATATATATATATATATATATATATATATATATATATATATATATATATATATATATATATATATATATATATATATATATATATATATATATATATATATAAAATTAAAAATATTTATAAATATTTATTTATTTTATCCATAAATATCTATTGAATTATCCGTTTTATCTATGATGAATTTTAGTCGCGAATATCTCGTAAATGCATAAGTGCATGGAAATGATGGCTTGGATCTAATAATTAGAATATAATCTAGTAATCACATAAAAAAACAGAAGTCAAACCATTATAAAAGATTAGATTTTAATAATTTAACAACTAAAAACTACTTAAACTTGGTTTTTGATACATTAGTTGACTCCATGCTTTTATTGTTATGTACTAATTATAGTATTAATATATTTAAGGAATGTGTACTTTGCAATAAAAGAAGTGTGAAGATAACGTAAGTTATGAATGTTTTCGATAACTAACAAAATTGATCAGCATTTCAGCAGATTTTGTGGAGTGATGTCTTATCAAACTTGCAGTTTGTATGATTATGCATAGTACACAAGAAAAACATTGAAATGACACCACTTGTCTAATCTCTTATTCAATAAATTATGCTATATTTCTCAGCCAAAGCTGTGCATGTTTTCACCACAACCATAACATCATCCACACAAATTAAAGTTAATCCCTATAGCATTGTTGATGATAACACAAGAAATTGAACATCTATAGCATGATGAGTACACTAAGATGAAAAATGTGTTTGAGAGTGTGCAAAACATACCACCATACATGTTTCAAAATTTACCACAATTCAATTGTGATTAAATAAAACATCTATTTATATTATCATAATTAAACTGCGCCTAACTTAGATAGAATATTCAAAAACTTGAGACAAACTTGTGTTAGTGTTTTAAGTTCTAAATTGTTAATAGATCAATGATAATTTTTTCCTGATAAAAGCTGAACATGTTCCTGGAGTGGTTTTGTTGGAAATAGCTTACTAGTGATGCATGTGAAGTGAAGCCAAAATGGTACATAAATATTCAATAAAGTGGCTATTTTGGAAAGTAAAAATAGTGATTGAAGTGACTTGATTTATACATTTGAATTTGTTTGTTTGTAAATAGTGTAGAGGCAAATAACACTGTATAGTTGTAGCATTTAATAATACTACTACTAGTATACTAATAATATTATTGAATGGTACAGAAAGCCAAAAGAGAAAATGACCAAAAAAACTCATAGCCACTCCTTGTATGATGACAAAAGAAAGATGGTGTAAGTACTTTCAATAATTTCAAAAGTTAGCATAGGGTAGTCAATTCAACCAGCAAAAGATGAAAAGAAACTGTGATGACTTCACTAAAGAAATTCAAAACCAAACTCTTCTACCTATTAGTATTTGATTCTCTTAGAAATTGATGAAAATTTTGATCAAAACCAAACCCTACTCCTATCTCTTTTTCTCACAAAGCTCTTTCTCTTTTATACATTGTGATGGATTCACCAAAATTACACAACATTAGACTACAAACTTCTATAACATTGATTCTCATCATTTTTTTTCTTACCTTATTTGCTTCTAGTTTAGGTACAAACATAGCTTCAATGTCAAATTTGTTTTTTATTTATTTGTCAAAACTTAGCATTCTCTTGATTCTTCTAACTAATGTTCTTGTTTACTTTTTTTCATTGAAGGGTCACAAAATTTGAAGAAAGATCAAAAGAAGTTAGTATTGGGATCAAGACCTCCTAGGTGTGTTAACAAATGCTTGAGTTGCAAGCCTTGCATAGCTGTTTTGGTTATTTCTCCTCATCACAAAGTTGGTCATATTGATAAGGCAATAATAGAAGGCGAAAAAGATGAAGGTTATTATCTTTTGTCATGGAAGTGCAAGTGTGGTAATAAATTATTTCAGCCATGAAAGTTGTTTTTATAGCTATAGCTTCTGGGTAGATAGATATGGTGGCATACCTATATATATAGTTTAAAAGATTAAGCAATTCTTAGTGTATCTTGTTTGTTTGTAGTAATATTATGAAAAGGAACCAAAGTTAACAACCTTGTCTTTTTTAACTAGCAATCAATTAATTCTCAATAGATTTGATTAGAAATTTGTTTGTTGGTTTTTAAGTTCAAATTTGCAATAGTTTATCATTATTATTATTTAGTAGGTAGATGAATATATTTTTGAGTTCAAGGGAACAAGGACATCTAGGCATGTTCAAGAATTTAATCAGCTGAGGCAAAGGAGAACCAACAAACTTCCTAAATATGTGGTCTGTTTTTTAATGGTTTAGAAGCAAAAAAATCAGGCTGACCAGTCTCTTCATTATCTTAAATTTTGTTATTTTTGTCTTAATACCAACATTTTAGTCCATACAAATTACAAAACATGCATGCTTTTAGTTAATTCCTATTTAGATATTAGCATGTAATTTATAGAGACATCAAACGTCTTATAACATCATTTATTTATCTCAATCAATATATCAATTAAATATACGGATAAATATTTTTTCTTCATTTATCTTGTATTTGGGTTATAATTTGATATTTTTAAAATGATCATTTTGATCTCATAACTTTTAAAAAATCTGTTACTTAAAATCAATATACAAAACCATGTCGCCAAATTATTGTTTTATATCATTTATGTTACTGCCATTTAAACGGAAGACTAATTTCCTGTTTGAAAAATTAAGATAGACTAAAATGGTCTTTTTAAAAATTAAAAAAAAAATTAAATAGGACTTCGAATTAAAGATAAATGAAAAAATAGGCATTCAATCTAAATACATCAAAACATATGGGCTAATTTCGTTATATCTTATTGACATATCAAATAGTTTGTAATTAATTTTTTTGGTAATAGTGTCCATTTTTTCATACAAAAATGCGTAAGACTTCATGAATTTGGCACTTGGATTATTTCATTAACTCTCGTAACACCAATTTGGTACAAATAAATATATTTTATACAATTTCCGCCCGAACCAAACACTATTTATTTAGATAACAAATTGGCTCATTGCATCATGCATTGCAATACGTATTTAACCTAAGAAATCAAGTCATGCTCTAATTTGACAGCCGTTCCAATTTTCCTGGGGGCACCAGCAGCTGGTGTTGTTTTATTTAGATTTGCATCATAAGGGCTGGAGCTGGATCAGAATGTCATTTGTCGAAGCAAACCAGAAGCTGGGCTAGTCTCACCCGGTCTCCAAATAATGCTTTCTAGTTTCGCACAAAGGTTCTTGTAAAACTGCAAGAGTACAAGTACATATTGTTACTGTCAATGCATAAGCCTGCACATAAATACTAGTGCATTTTGCAATTTCAAAAGTTTACAAGTACACAAACATTTGAGAAGTTGGCTATTGGAAACTAATAAGCCTGCACATAAATACTAGTGCATTTTGCAATTTCAAAAGTTTACAAGTACACAAACATTTGAGAAGTTGGCTATTGGAAACTAACATGTTTGATATGAATTATAGGACAGTCAAATCTGTAGACAACTCCATGCAACCAAAATAACCATTAAAACCATTTATGGGTGTGTGCCTATGTGTAATTAAAGAATTGAAGGTATTTGGAACAAAGACATTACAAGCCAGCACCCTGCATCACTACCATTAGGAAGTGCCAGTCTATGAAGTCCCAAAGTCAGACTATCTATATTTATAGCTCCTACTTGAAATTCTTTATTTATCTCCCTTTTCTTAAATTTTGATTGCAATGGTTTCCAATTTATCATCTCCTTAATCTATATGCTTCAACCATTTTCCAACTTTATATCACAAATGTTGTTTCATTTCCTACAAAACTTTATGTGGCATGTGTAATGGTGTGAATGAGCTAGGGGTATCTATAGCTTAGTCCTTGGTATTCAAACATGGAAACAAAAATCAGTAGTTTTGAGGAAATATACTGGCTATTTTGTTGGGGTTTTTTTATGGACATGTAATGAGACTATCAAGTGTAATATTCCCAAGTTCCACTAATCTCAAGGCCGAAAAAGGAAGTTCGGTTCAATCATAGAAAATATATAACATGAAACGGCAATAAAGAAAATAGGATAGAAATAAAATCATAGAAAACCAAAATATCAGGAATTATTAGAATATATAAATCTTGTCCATCTAAATTCCAGCCTCGTTGAACACAAACCATCAAACTGACATTGAACATCGACACACATTCAATCTAAGGGAGATGTGAATCTTGATTTCTGATTAACCCAGGACCAAAATTTTCTCCACATGCAGTATGACTAAAATAGATATATACACAATGTTGCTTTAACAGATGGTATTTTGATTTACAGAGAAGATTAGCAGTCTTAAGTGAGTTTTCCTCTCTTTTAACAAACTCCCGAATCAATTAGAATAGGAACATTGATATGAAAAAAAGAACTCTGCATATTTGTGTGTGGTTGCAAATGGTCTTTCTTCCTTTTAGCATATGTCAGTGATTATCATGACATATAGCTTGAAAGCATTCGGTAAATTAATAAATTCTCTAAAATAATAAATTTGTCCGTTCCCGACTTGGGCCAATGTAAAAAATTGAAAAATTCGATAAAATAATAAGATAATAATTTTTCGAGAGATCCCTTTATAATTTTCGGTCCCAAGAAAATCATAAATTAATAATTCATATAAACTGAAAAAAATATATTACACTCTATTGAAATATGATTCAATAGTTGTCTGTTTTCCTTTAAAGTTTAAGTCTATTTGGAGCTCATCTCTAACTTTTCTTATTGCATCCAATAGCTCAGGTGTTGTATTTTTATATTGTATCATAAAATTGTGAAGAGTGTTCGACGCCATAAGTGCTTCCTTTCGCGTAACAGGCTCCAAAGACACCGTACCATCTTCGCTGTCATCCTCTGCATTGTTCTCAATGATAGTACCCACAATATCTTCTAAACTCCGAACATGCTTCATTTTTACCTGGGTAGTTCATTAGATTATCGATATCCATCTTATTACAATAGCCACATTGATTGATCATAGTCTTAAGGTCTTGAGTTTCTTCATCAAAAGTGGATTCATTCAAATTTCTTGCAACGTCACTAGCTGATCGAATTTTACAGTGTCAGAAATAATTCGCTATTGTTTCTTTTCGAACATCTATCGTCTAAGCTGGGATTGCCAAATTGATAGCATCAAGGACATTTATCTTCCCTGGATCAGATTGTCCCACCTCATAACCTTCCAATATTTTGTGGTAAAACCTTCTATGGTAATGCATCTTGAAAGCTCTTATTATCCCAACATCGCAAGGTTGAATCTTTGATGTCATGTTGGGTGGCAAGAAGAACAACTCAATGTTTCTTAGCCCTTCAATATTTCTTGGATGTGCTGGACAATTATCCACCACAAGTAGAACTCTTCTACCATGCATCATTTGGTCAAATGAACGAACATATTCATCAAAAAGCACACTAGTCATCCATGCTTTTTTTGTTAGCTCGATACTGACAATCCAAGCTATTCATGTTGACATTCTTGAAGCAACGAGGCTTTGCATATTTCCCAATAATCCATAGAGGGATTTTTTCAGAGCCATCTTCATTGCAACAAATAACTATCGTCAGCCTTTCTTTATCTTGTTTTCTTCCTTCAAGTTGTTTTGTTGTCAGTGAATGATCAGCTTGTAGCTTATAAAACAACTCAGTTTCATCCATATTGAAAACATCTTTCATAGGAAACTGATCAATTTTCTCCCGAATCGAGACCAATTTCTGCTCCATGTCTTGTACATCAACATACCCACTCTCGCCAAAACGACGAAATGACTTTATGCCATGTCGGTGCTTGAATTTCCCAAACCATCCTATAGAGAAGTTAAAATTTAAATCATCATGAGGGTACACGAGTTGCATTGTATCTCTTGCCTTCTGCAAAATTAATTCTTCTGTGATATTCACACGTTCTTGATGCTGGAGAAACCCCTCATAAACAAACTTCTCCATGTCAGGATATTTTGCTGGTTTGTATCTTTTGATCTCTGCTCTTTCCTTTTCTATTTCAGCAGAGAGATAGTCATCTGACCGCTTAAGTGTGTTTGATATTGTTCCTTGACTAACTTTCAAGTGAAATTTTCCCTCAAGCCATCTCTGCAAGTCTTTTTGTGTGCTTGCAGGATTATCTCTCTTGTACTCACACAACTCCTTACGTATTTGATCTGACATAGTTGATTTTGCAACATCTTTTAGATGAGAAGCCATCTTGTGAGATATAATTTGAATACTCTAACACATTCATTTAATTTATATATGCCAAACTTGCTTAAGAATATATTGAACACATTTGTTTCTCTTGTTTAGATTTATTGTACTTCAAAAGTCATTATTGATTTCCAATACATATGAACACAATAGTTACTAATTTACGTTGAGCCCCAAGGTTCGCTGCAACGTAATTCTAAAAGACATAGACTAATTTGCCTTTTTGTTTGGTATGTACTTTATAATTACTTAAAAACTCTTTAAATTAATAATTATTATTTTATCGATAAATTAATAAATTTTTCCTATCCTGACATTATTAATTTAAAGAGTTTCTAATATATATATATATATATATATATAAACCGCTAACCTTGTGATACTCTAGAGTATCCCCAGCTGCCTTTCGAACATCTACCATGAAAAGGGAGGGTGCAACTTCAAACACCTTTTGACAAGATGCAAAGATGATTTTAATTAGGTCCTGATACAAAAAAAAATCATACCAAAAATAATATATACAATAAACACACAAACTACCTCCAAAACCACTGCAAATTGCCCAACCTTATTTGAAGAAACTCTTTCAATTCTCATCTGCCAGGACATTATATTTAAAAAAGCAATGGAAAAAATTGAAAGTCAGATATTATTACCATACATTTCTTTTTTGGGATCAATTAGAAAAATATCTACCATATCAAACCACAACAATTTGTTTTTTTTCTCTTAAACCACTGATCCCTGCCTAGGGACTACCTCCTTTAAGGCCACGCTGTAATTAGGATAATGTTTCTCATTTCAAATGTAAGTTGGCTAATATGGAACAACAGACAATGGAGAGTAATCAGACTGCTGCTAAAATGAAGCAGCTGTCACAAACAAGACTGCACATCTGATGTAAACAGGAATTAATCACAAAATTAGTTGCTCTGAATTATGTGAAGAGTTCCTCATACGTCACAATACCAATTACTATCAGCTTAAGCATCTATGGGCATAATCCCGAATTTATTGCGTACAGTATGCATTGCAGAGTGATACCTTGTAATTGCGACAATGGATCTTAAGACCCATTGACACTGCAACAGCTTCGACAGATGAAATTATATCTTTTGCTGGTTTACGTGAAACAAAACGAGTCTGCCGTTTTACATAATCCTGTTCAAACAGCAAAAGAATATCGTTAGGGGAAATGCAACAGACTGCCTTGAAAAAACAGAGAATTTTAACCAAGTTGCAAGAAAGCTAAACAGTAATATCATAATGAATTATGTTCAAGTACTTAAACTCAAAGCTAACTTGAAATCATATGTCCTCTGATGCCCACCTAGGCAAAGGTGGAAGTACCAGAAGTTACATGGCAGCCAGAGACACAAAAAGGGACCATGATATTGCAGTGCAAGAAAATGTACCTGATGCCTGTCAAATAGTGGTGAAAGATTCAACCCTTGTGATAAGGTTATCATCTCAAATGCGTTCATTATCAAAGGACCTCCCTCGCTAATTTGTGACCGTTCAGAAACATACCGGTCCTGTAAAACAGTATAAATTTTAAAGTCTATTCATATAAGCAAATGAGGCGCATGTTAAGTGTGGATAACTAGTGCAAGATTTTAACCACTCAGAATGAGAATCAAGGGACCACAACTAGGAGTTTACCAAAGAAGCTAAATCTTATAGATGTTGTCTTTGATATAAACAACCTCTTGTCATGCACTCAGGCATGCCAACTTCCATGCCACATTTTATAAGAATAAACATTGTTCCATGCCAACTTCCAAACTTTTTATCGGCATATGAAAAAGTCCTAGTAGTTGATTTTCCTTCAAATTCTTAAATGATTGTGCAGTTGGCACATAGAGTAGCCAAAGCGTTCTGATAACTATCCTAATCCCTTAAGTAAAAAAAATAGTTTTTGAAAAATTTGACAAATTTTATCTGAATAAAATGTGTCATCCATGTCTGTTAGGCCTCCAATCAAAGTATTTTACAGAAGGAAGAAAAGGGATATGGGCATAATGGAGAAGGGGAATTCTGTTACAGAAGAAGCTGAATAAGGAGCAGGTCCTCATTTACCTCTCCGTAAGGAGCTACCTTCTTGTTTTCTAGTTTATTTCCCTGTTGTGTTTGATCCTGTATGGAGCAGTTCCCCGTTTCATTCTCATTTCTAGTTCTCAAATAATGTATCACTCTGTCACGTAAGATTTATTCTCTGGTTGGAAGGAATTTTTTCCATCAAACACAAGTCAGTCCTTATTCTCTGGTTGGAAGGAATTTTTTCTATCAAACACAAGTCAGTCCTGTTGAAAGTAATACTTTGTGTCGAAGCAGTTTGCTCGATAGAGATAAGGGAGTATTGAAAAGATTTGATTTGATTTAGAAGTGTAAAAACAGTTTGTTACACACAGGTTTGTTTTAGTTCTAGAATAGATAAGATTTAATTTAGGTCTGAAATAGATAGATTTAATTTAGTTCCAAAATAAGTATTTTGGACTTTTATAGTTTTGGATTTTGATTTAGGGAGCAAGCTAACCTAAATCTATAAATAGAGGGAGTAACCCTTATTTTTGTAATCAATCAAGTTGTATTCACATAATAAGAAGTTTTCCACAGTTTGTGGATAGAGAGAAACTCTGCAGAAAAAATATTTTCTTTCTTCATCTTTTATTTTTCACTGTCATTGTTTATCGATAACAATCTTGTTCATCAAGGTTGAGAGAAATTCATTATAGGTTTTGGGGAATTTCCAACATCTGATATCAGAGCTCTAGTTGAGTGATTCAAGAGAAGAACGATCAAGAACGATCGAAGAAGAAGATCACGATGGCGATGAATTATGCTAACGGAAATTTTCTAGCAAATCTCCAAATTCTTAAAAGTGATAACTATGAGAATTGGTGCAAACAGATGAAGCTTATATTCTGTTTTTAAGGTCTTTGGGATCTTGTGAAATATGGATTAGAACCACTTGATGAAGACGCTTCAGAAAAGGAAGAGGCGGAATACAAAGAATTGAAGAAGAAGAAGAATTATAAAGCTCTCTTTATAATTCATCAACGTGTCAGCCCAGACAATTTCGAAAAGGTTAGTGATGTTGAATCTGCAAAAGAAGATTGGGAGATTCTCAAGAAATCGTTTAGAGGTGCTGAGAATGTGAAAGAGGTGAGGTTACAAACTCACAAAAGAACATACGAATTGCTTCAGATGGAAGATAGCGAAAGCATATCTGATTTCTTAACTAGGGTTACGAAACTAGTGAATCAAATCAAGACTTGTGGAGAGACGTTGACAACAAGAGCAGTTGTTTCGAAGATCTTGAGATCTTTGGCTCCAAAGTTCGATCATGTGGTAGTTGCCATAGAAGAGTCGCAGGACATGTCAACTTTGTCGAACAGAGAGCTTCAAGGGACGCTTGAATCACATGAACAAAGAATGGGTGAAAGAGCTACAGGCAAGTCGAAGAATGATGTGACTCTACAGGTTCAATCAACAAAACATAAGAAAGGAAAATGAAAGTGGTTCGACAACAAAGGTAGAGGTGGCTACAAGAATTCGACTGGTAGAGGAAACCAGCACGAAGAAAACGTGTCAAATCAGAGAAGATCATACCAAGACAACCAAAGAGATGGTGTTGCAAATAGAGGAAGAGGTGGTGGTCGAAAACCTGACAAGAGTCGCATTCAGCGTTGCAATTGTCAAAAGTATGGTCACTATTCTAGTGATTGTCTAGAAAAGCGAAATAATCAAGAAAGTGATGCAAAGTTCACAAAGTATGAAGAAGAAGAGATGTTGATGGTCACAACAAGAGATGAAGAAAAATTTCAAGGATCAATGGTACTTGAATTCAGGATGCTCATCACACAAGTCTGGAAGAAAAAATTGGTTTGTCAACATAAAATCCTCGATGAAGAACATGGTGAAATTCGCAAATGACAATACCCTAGCAGCTAAAGGTATTGGTGATGTTATGATTATGAGAAAAGATGGCAAGAGATCAGTAATTTTGAATGTGTTATACATATCACGCATGAAGAGTAATTTGCTCAGCATAGGATAGTAGATCGAAAAGAATTATTAAGTGTCGATCGAAGACAAGATGATGAGAGTCATCGATGCAATTAGAAGGTTAATCTTGAAGGCTTCCATGTCTCAGAATAGGACTTTCAAGATTGAACTTAATGTGATGGAGCACAAGTGTCTTTCGACTGCAGCTAGCAGAGATGAATGGATATGCCACTGTCGACTAGGTCATCTCAACTTCAGAGACATCAGAGATTTGAAGAGAAAAAATATGATTTCAGGATTGCCAGAAATTGACATTCCAAACGAGATATGTAAGAAATGTGTGCAGGCGAAGCAACACAAGAATAGCTTCAGCAAGGATGCAGGAAGCAAGTCGAAGGCTATTCTTAGAGTCATATACTCTGATGTATGTGGATCAATCCAGGTGGAATCGAATCGAGGTAATAAATATTTTGTTACATTCATAGATGATTTTAGTCGAAAACTGTGAACTTACCTGATCAAGAAGAAAAGTGAAGTGATCGAGGTATTTACCAAGTTTAAATCTATGGTCGAAAGCTCAAAGTTTTTAGAGCTGATGGTGGTGGATAATATGTGTCGAAAGACTTCGACAGATTATGTGAAAAAGAAGAGATTGTACATGAGGCAGTGCCGCCCTATACTCCACAGCAAAATGGAATTGCAGAAAGAAAGAATCGGACCATCATGAATATGGTGAGAAGTATGTTAAAAGGCAAGAATTTATCTAAAGAGTTTTGGAGTGAAGCTGCGTCGACTGCAACATACATTTTGAACAGACGTCCGAAAAAGAAGATAGAAAGAATTACTCCAAAAGAATGTTGATCTGGTGTGAAGCCTAACTTGAGTCATCTGAAGGTTTGGATCTATTGAACATAGACATGTGTCAGATCAATTGAGAAGAAAACTTGATGACAAGTCGAGTCAGATGATCCTAGTAGGATACCATTCGACAGGAGGTTACAAGTTGTTCGATCCAGTGAACAAGCAGATTGTGATCAGCAGGGACGTGATCATAGATGAGCTTAAATAATGAGATTGAACTGAAAATATCAAGAAAGATTCAGTGAGAATCTTGCTTGAAGAACCAGAAACTCAAGTCGAAAGAGAAGTTCGACAAGAGGAACAAGCAGCTATAGATCAACCAAGTACTAGCAGACCTCAGAGAACAAGACACATGCCTGCAAAGTTGCAAGATTGTGTGATTACATCAAATGATGTGGTTGATAACGAAGGTGAGTTGATACATTATGCTTTCTATGCAGATATCGAACCAGTCAATGCAGCTGAAGCATTGAAAGATTCAAAGTGGGTGAAAGCAATTAACGAATAAGTGAAGTCCATCGAAGACAACAACACTTGGTCACTTGTCGAATTGCCTCAAGGCAAGAAGGCAATTGATGTCAAGTGGGTATACAAGCTGAAGATGAATCCCAAAGGGGAAGTAACTCGACACAAAGCAAGGCTCGTGGCGAAAGGATTTCTCTAGAAAGAAGGAATAGACTTCGATGAAGTTCTTGCACCTGTGGCTAGAATCGAAACAATCAAGTTGGTTGTTGGTCTAGCAGAAATAAACAGTTGGCACATATGTCAGATGGACGTGAAGTGTGCATTCCGAAATGGACCCTTAGATGAAGAAGTTTATGTTAAACAACCAGTTGAGTTTGTGAACCATGACGAAGAGAGAAAAGTGCACAGGCTTCATAAGCCCTATATAGATTAAAACAAGCTCCAAGAGCTTGGAATAAGAAGATTGATAGTTTCCTAAGGGAAAAGAAATTTGTGAAGTGCACAACTGAACATGGAGTATATGTAAGAAGAAGCAATAGTGAATTGCTTATACTATGTCTCTATGTCGATGACTTGTTAATAACAGGTAGCTGCAAGAAGGAGATCGAAGACTTCAAAGGTGATCTCAGCAAGGAATTCGAAATGTCTGATCTATGTGATATTTCATATTTTCTTGGCATCGAATTCTACAAGAGTAGTAGAGGTTTGATGATGCATCAAAGAAGATATGCAGGAGAAATTCTCAAGAGATTTGAGATGGAATAATGCAACTCGACTTCGACACTTGCAGAACCAAGCCTGCAACTGTCAAAAGATTCAGAAGACGATGTCGATCCAACCCAATACAGAAGACTTATGGGATCATTAAGATACCTTTGTCATACAAGGTCTGACTTAACAGGCAGTGTAGGTATGGTAAGTAGATTCATGCAGAAGTCAAAGGTATCACACCTAGCAGCGGTGAAGAGGATATTGAGGTATCTGAAAGGAACTCTCAACTATGGCATTTTGTTTCATATAAATGATAAAGAAAAAGAATGCAAGTTACTGGGATACACTGATTCGACTTGGTGTAGTGATGTTGCGGATTGAAAATCCACAGCGGGATATATATCTATGCTAGGTGGTGCACCAGTTGCTTGGAATTCGAGAAAGAAACCAGTAGTGGCATTATCCATGCAAAGTAGAGTACATAGTTGCTTCTCTTTGTGCATGTCAAGCAACACGGATGGTGAGATAACAGGTAAATATCATTGAACAATTACCATGAAGATCGACAGCATGTCAACTATCAATCTGGCGAAGAACCCGATAGCTCACGGTCAGAGCAAGCACATCGAAATGAGATTCCATTATCTTCGAGAGCAAGTAGCAGAAGGGAAGATGAAATTGAAACACTAGAACTAAGAATGAGATTGCAGATATCATGACGAAGGGAGTGCAAATCCAAATATTCAGAAGAATAAGAGCCATAAAGAATATAGATAGTTTAGACACAATGAATTAGATGGTGTGTTGAAAGTAATTCCTTGTGTCGAAGCAGTTTGCTCGACAGAGACAAGTGAGTGTCGAAAAGATTTGATTTGATTTAGAAGTGTGGAAACAGTTTGTTACACACAGATTTGTTTTAGATCTAGAATAGATAAGATTAATTTAGATCTGAAATAGATAGATTTGATTTAGTTTCAAAATACGTATTTTAACCTTTTATAATTTTAAGTTTTGGCTTAGGGAGCAAGCTAACCTAAATTTATAAATATTTATAAATAGAGATAGTAACTTCTATTTTTGTAATCAATCAAGTTGTATTCACAGAATTTGCAGTTGCAAGTGAATAAGAAGTTTTCCACAGTTTGTAGGCATAGAAAAACTCTGCAGAAAAAATACTTTCTTTCTTTCTTCATCTTTTATTTTTCATTGTCATTGTTCATCGATAACAATCTTGTTCATCAAGATTGAGAGAAATTTATCATAGGTTTTGACAGATTTCCAACAAGTCTATATCTGATTCCTATCAATGTGGCAGACCACGAGGGCTGTTCCCCTGTAGTATGGATGTCCTTTTCTTATTCAAAAGCAATTTTTAGCATAACCAGAGGAAGAGATATGCATATTTCTGTATAAAGAATTAATTCATTAACCACAATCATACAACAGTATTAATTTGAGCATGTTTAACTATTCTTTGCCATAAATTTAAAACCTAATTCAGCAATGCATTATATTGTGTTTTCAAGTCATCATTCTAGTTTCAAATCAAGATGAAAGCCTTCATGAAGTTTTCTTCACATATGTGCGCAGCCGTTCACATGTTAATTGACATATATTTTGTTTACATGTATTATATTTGCAGCAAACATTCTCGTATGTGTATGGATATGTAAAAACAGACAAACACATACATTTGTAAAAACAAGTTTTGTGTGTATATATTTTTTTTTAAAAGAACAAAAAACAACAGCAGACCTCAATATCATTAAAAACAGCCAGAACGTCATCCAAATTCACTTTCTCGTCTTCTCTGAGTGTGACAGGAGAATAGTTTTTCTTGAACCATGGATCTTGCATTATTTCTTTTATTTTAACACGCTGCATTTACATAATTAGGAATATTAAATTTGAAAATTTTGCAGCAATCAATAAAAAAAATTCACAGATAAGTGCAAATCTTGATACAGACATACTTGATTGGACAGGAGATGATATACAAAGGCACAAGCATATATTATACAATTAATGTATAAGGAAATGCAATTATTTAAGTATCCGAAACAATCACGTCAGCTCATACAAACATATAAAAAACCTGAAGACTATTAAATGGATCATAATTTGCATCCGTTAAAAATGAAAATTTATGCTTATCTACTTTATAAATATTTTCAATTTTTATTTTTCCTATACAGGAAAAGGAGAAAAGAGAAAATAAAATAAAATTCAAAGAAATTGATTATACCTGTTCAAAGTACATTGCATAGACTTACATGTAATAGGACCACGGATTGAGTATAATAGTAATAACTTAATACCAATAAGAAAAATGTGCCAAGGTAATCAACAAGAAATGCACTTCATACTCTATCGAATGCATGTATTCATTTGTGTCTATAATAAATGCTCACAAACAGATCGATCTACTCACTGTTTTAGGATCGGGATCCAAAATTTTATGTATCAAAGCCTTTGCGCCAGCAGAAAACCAGAGTGGGCAAACAAATTCTGCAGCACTGATCTGCAAGTACAAACGACAAAGAAAAATCAACAGAAAAATCAAGAGCAAAAACTAACAGCTAACTAATAACCAGTAGCACACTCCCCAAATGAACATTCAGCAGCACACTTAGAAAAGACTCCTCCTAATGGCATCTAGAAATATAGGAGGACCAATTAAGTTTTCACTATTACAAAGCAATGTTATTGTTAGACAACAAGCCTGAACATGAGAACAATGTATCTTATCCACTCATATTATACAATACAGCATGTAAGGAACTTCTAAGTATGGGTAATACCACAAAGAAAGATTAATGTCACTAATGAAATTGTGCTGACATAGCAATTCATTCATATATTTATTTATCAAAGAAGTTGCAATCCATATTTTAATTACTAGTTACTAGATGAGTGTTATCATCCTTGTTTCTTAGTATTGTTTTTAGATATTAACTTTTCTATGATAAGGATTGGTTCAGGATTTAAAGTGCAAATAAATAGTAGTAAAAATGGTTATGATGCTATGTATTGTTGATTAATTGATAACTACAGCTAGGGCTGGAAATGAGTCGAGTCGAACTCGTCTCAGCTCAATTCGACTCGTTAGAAATTAGCCGAGTTCGAGTTCAAGTTAGAGTTCATCACAAACTTTTTTTTCAGTTCAAACTCGACTCGTTAAAATTTGGCCGAGTTCGACTTCGATTTTATCACGATTTTTTTTCCAGCTCAAACTCAACTTATTAGAAGTTCACGAACATCTCGGTTCAACTCATTAGATTTATCTTGTTAGGTTCAACTCGCCTATTTTACGGACTTAAAAGTAATTTTTTAAAGTCTATTTTTTTCTATATATATTTGACATTTTAAATTAATATTTTTTAAATAAAAAATATAGAAATAAAATAAAAGTTATAAGATTGAAATTTATACGATGTTAATTTTATTTGTATAATTATTTGTAGAAATATTTTGCTCACTCGAGAATATAAATTATCAATTAAAACCGTTAGATTAAAAGAAAATATGAGACTAAGATTTAGAGCAAATCTTTAAATCTACTTTTAAAGACAATATAATCTATCTCATATATAATCGAATTGACTCATGAACCTAACGAGTCGAACCATGTATAGTTCAAGTTCAACTCATTTAGTTAACGAACTTAGTTTTTAGCTCATATTCAGCTCATTTAGTTAACGGACTTAGTTTTTAGTTCATATTCAGCTCATTTGGTTCATAAACCTAGTTCAACTATTTAATTTTCGAATCGAATTTTGAACTATTTTCGAGTTGGTTTGGTTCATTTCCAGCCCTAATTACAGCATAAAGTTCTGTTCCACTAGGTTTCTTTTATTTATAGTACATTCATCATTTGCATTTTCCTTTTCTTTCTAGCTCTTCTAAGTCCCTACTTCAACATTACAAGGGAATAGAAGAGATTACCCTTCTGAACAAGGTCGGAAGGTCTGCCTCCTCAAATGGAAGATATCCAGCCATTAGAACATATAGAATGACTCCACATGACCATACATCAGCTGCGGCACCATCATAACCTTGATTGTTAAGCACCTGCAGAAGATTATTTTAGTAAGAAATTGGCGCACATACAAATGATATGTTCAAATCATTCAATTAAGAGAAAAGTCAATTGTATACTAACTCACAAGTATATTTCTTGTAAGAAACATGCAACTTGTCACAGACAAAATTGCTACCTGAAGTGACTAGCTTGCCTTGTGCTTACAAATTGATTATATCAGTGCCATGAGATGAGAAAAGCACAAGAATCATCAAGTGATAAATGTATAAATAATGAACTGAGTTGAAGATGACTCTTACTAGAAGTGATTAATGTATAATTTTACTCAGGGTCAAAGAATGATCAGTGTCCCTCTTAGTTTAACTCTTTTAACATTTCAAAATCAAATTATATTTCAATTTTGAACATGCTCCTTTTTGAAATATATATCTCATATTCTATTCCATTTTAGGTTCAAGCTAAGTTCATAAAAAACTGTACATGCACAGGACATCAATAGTATTGACCTATTTCATCCCCAATTATTTGTCCAAGACTAAAATTATGCTGCCATTAATCTGATCCCAATGACCAAGCATCCATAGGAACATGAGCAACAGATCAACACAAAAACTAAGAATGGCATTAGAATTGTGTATAATCAATTTTACCTCAGGCGCAACATAATTTGGGGTCCCGCATGTTGTGTGAAGAAGGTCATCGCCCTATAAGAGAGAGTTGGAGAGAAAAAGAAAGGCATAAGAAAGGCATTAGTTCTGCAGCTTCTGTTATCTCCAACAATCAATATTCAAAAACAGAGCAACAGCTACATGCCAATGGGATAAAACCAATACATCCTTTTTGTTAAGAAAATAAATTATATTATGTCAGCTTCTTTTGTAAGTAGAGCACATTCTTACCTGCTTAGTCAATGCACTCAATCCAAAGTCAGAAACCTTCAAATTTCCGAAAGCATCGAGAAGAAGGTTTTCCGGCTATTAGAGGACGGGAAAAAATTATCAAGATAAAAACTTAAGTAGGTTAAAATAATTACAAGAAAAACATTATAGACATCATATATAGTATTTTGTCTTTCACCTTCAAGTCTCTATGGTACACGCCCTTTTTATGACAGTGAGCGACAGCGTCTATAAGTTGTTGAAAGTAGCGCCTAGATTCATTTTCAGAAAGCTTTACCTGCTGAACCTAAGTATCCAGAATAGGTGTAATTGTAAACATAAATGAATAAAATCTAATGTATGCCTAATAAAATCACTAACTATAATTTGTAAGTATCTTGTGAATGTTTACTAAGTTAAAATATCAGACTTGGGAACTATTGAAGTGTAGAAAAAGTGGCCTCTCATATACATTGTAACATTTAAGCATGGAAATTCTTACAATTTGATCATATAATTCCCCTCCCATTACAAACTCCAGAATTATGTAGATCTTGGTCTTACTGGCCAAAACCTAAAAAGTTGTAAGTGATGTGAGAAATACGATATGAAAAGCAAGAAATAGAATGAAAGTGTTGATGTATTGAGATACCTATACATACCTCGTGCAATCTGACTATATTAGGGTGCCTGACAACCTTCATAATGGATATCTCTCTTTTAATCTGTATCATGTTTCAACTTTCCAGTTAGAAAAACAGATAGCAGAAAGTTGGGAAAATATACAGTATAACAAACTACATCGTTATTCTGCATAAGCCCAGAGCCAAACACAGCGATAGAAATAGGACTTTAACAGCGAATGCATCATATGAGGAGGAAAGTGATACCTGTTCAACCATTCTGTGCATGAGAATGGTACTTTTAGCCATGATTTTAATCGCCACACTTTCCCCTGTTTCACCGTGTTTCGCAAACTTAACCTTCGCGAATGTACCTTCACCGATAGTTCGACCAACCTCATACTTTCCGATCTTTCTCCTCACCTTCTTCATTTTTTCAACGCTCATTCGTCGTTCCCTTTCACGATTTCGCAATTCAAAAAATGACCTAGAATCACGAACTCAGTCGCGATTTTTCAACTTGAAATCTTAATAGAAAGAGGAAAAAATCCAAGTTGAAATTCTAATAACTTGGACGCGATCCTCGGAAAGGAAAGTAGAGGTTGTGGTGTTTGATGAAGAAGAAGAAAATGATCGGAAAAACAGTTATGTGAACGGAATTGGAAGATTCTAGAAAAGTGGAGAAAGCGCCTACTACCGGTTGAGTTGAGAAAATTGAAGTGAAGCTTCAAGAAGAAACAACAACAGACATGAGAGAGTGGAAAGAAGATACAAATAAAAATGGTCCTCAATGTAGTATAAATTTTTTTGTTATTTCTCGCATTTTGTAATCAATGACTTATGAGAAATTTAACTAATCTATTATCTGTTATCTATTATAAATAAATATATGAATAATTATATTATAATCTTTCTGATTAAATATTTAATTTAATTTAATTTCAAGAATAAAATATATTTATTATATACTATTTGTTTTATATTAATTTGATAATTAATGATATTAAATGGTATTTTAAAAAAAATTAGATAATAGATGAGTGGGTTCTCCACTTAAATATATTTTTTTTTACTTTATTAAATTTTATCTAATAATTTAGTTTTTATAAAAATGTTTTTTAAAAAAATATTTTATTATAATGTCAAGTAACTCTATTTTAAGACATGAGCAATATTTTTTTAAAATAGAGTTAATATTTAAATATTAGTTTAATAATTTAAATTTTGTTTGAAAAAATAAAAAATCATAAATATGTTTTCACTAATATTTAAAAAAATCAAATTATTCTTTAGAATTTTAATAAATTTTACTATAAAAACTATTCTTAAATAAATTATAAATATTTTTATAAACAGAAAAAAATTTATAGAACTAAAAATTTATTTAACTTATAAGACTACCTCCAATGTGGTTTTTCAAATTGGTTTGTCAGCTTGCCATTGAAATTGTCAACAAAAAAGTTGTTCCAGCTGGTGAACGGTACAAATATAAACAACGGTTCTTCATATTTTTTTATTATTAAAATAATTAATTAGTTGGTATCAATTATTATTTTAAATCAAATAAAATTTAGTATGAATAAAATATTAATATACAAAGTAAAATTGTGAGACCCAATATAAGTTCTTTAAAATTGCACCATTGGAGTGAAAAATGGAGTGAGTTACTTCAAGATGATGTGGCTTAATGAATCTCATAAAAAACCCAAATATGAGTAGCACCATTGGAGATGCTCTAAAGGTTCTTGCATGCATAGATCTACACATACATATAAATGTATTTATGAGATATCAATTATAAACTGTGAAACGTATCCACATAAGAATGTTTTCTAATAATATGAATTAACTTTTTATGTTGAATATATAATTATTTTTTCTTCAAATTGTACCATGTCTAGAATATATGTAACCTTTTTTTTACACTATATATAACTTTATTCTTTAAAAATATTATAATTGAATTATACTATTAAAAAATTAATTTCATATGTAGTTGTTGAAGTTGGAAATTGTATATAACTTTTCTAGAGTAATTTATGTATATATTTTTGTAACAAAAGACTAATAAGTAGTTAATAAAAATAAAAGTGTGTTTACATTGTATAAATTTGACTCGATTTTTTGGACTCAAGACCTCTTCAGTCGTACGTAAAAATTTATGCCTCAAGTATAAGAAATTATTATAGAGCATAATTGTAAATTGTAGACCTCTTATTTGTCTTATATGAAGAACGGGTAGTGATTTATTTTTGAATTTTCAAATGATAGTGTTTGAAACTCTTGAAAAATTATTACAAATAGTAATTATTTAAAATTCATAAAAATGGTTCATACATTTCATCAACATAAGAAAATAACTAACTTTCCAATAAAAGACTAGATAAGCTGCAAATGCTAGATGCTTGAAAAACACTATTGCATTAGTTATCGAAGCTAATTAGTTGTAAACGTATATATAGATATAAATATATAGATAGATGTGGACGTATCTATGGGATATCAGTTGTAATATGTTCATTTTAATGTCTATCTTTTTATTTCTTAATTTAATAGATGCAGATTTTTCATCGTAATAAAGGTCCTTACAAACATAGATATACGAGTAAATGTGAATGTATTTACGAGATATCAATTATAGATTGTTTATTTTAATATTTATCTTTTAAATCTTTTTGTAGCTGTTATTTTATATTAAGTCATACATAATTTATTTTTGACTAAATTGTAGAATATTTTTAACAAAATTCGATTAATATTAAAGACTTAATACTCTCTTGATCAAATATATTAATCTAAGAGTGTTTTTTATTTCTCAATTTAACAGTTGTAGATTGTTCATCTTAATGAAATTTCTTGCAAGCATAGATCAACATATAGATGTGAATGTATCTATGAGATATCAGTTGTAGACTATTCATTTTAATGTCCATCTTTTAAATTTTTCTTTTGTTGTTGTTTATATAATTGAAGTTAAAAAATTTAATGTACGATTTATTATAAATATGTATCTATGATTAAATTGTAATTATGTGAATATCAACTAACTAAATAAACGAAAACAAATTTTACAAATGATAATTTGGTAAACATGTAATATGAATCTAGACAGGACACGTGCGATAACACGAATTTCTTAATAGTACTTCACTTAAAAGATAGATTGAGAAAATAAATTCAATATTATAACTATTTTTTTAATTCCTACTTCTTATATGTTTGGTTTCTTTGTTTTATTAATTTAAACTTAAATTAGATTAAATAAATATAGAATAAATATGATTTTAATTTTATATAAATTTATTAAGTATATTATATATATTACATATTTAAAAAGTAAAATAAAATATTTGAAACTATATTCTTGAGTGGCTGAAAGTTCAACATTCTCCTAGAGATTGACATAGTGACCTTGGTTTGGCTTGAGAAGGAAAGCAAAGGAAAATGTTGAGGACTAATAAAGTGATCAAAATTGCTTTCACATAAACTTACGAGTATTGAAATTATAGAATCCACTAGTTTTGGGAAGAAAATTATAGATAACGTGATCTATCGGATTTAGATGAAACCCAACCTTTGAGTTTATATAGACAATTTGAGAGCGTCCAAGTGTTTTTTTAGGTGGGATTCTTTGAACCTCTTTGTAATTATTTGTTATTTTTGTGTTTTTTTGGTTAATCAAAAAATTTTGTTTTAAAAAAAAAAAGTAAAACAAAATAATTTTTTCAGTTTTAATATAATTTTTTTGACTTATTTAATGTATATAAAAACAAATGTAATGGTGGTTGTAGTCATGAATATTTTTAAATTAATAAAATTAGTAAATATTATATTATTAATTAAATATGAAATTTCTCTACATAAAAAATACTTAACTTAATTTTTAATTTATATTTATTATTTTATTAATAATTTTATTGCAAGAATGAATTGTATTAAAAAGTTGAAAAGTGTTAATACTCTTTTTGTGTTATTAATCTAGTAGAAAAATCTTGTTTTGTTGACTAAATATATTTTTTATTAAGGAATTGATAAATATATATATATATATATATATATATATATATATATATATATATATATATATATATATATATATATATATATATATATATATATATATATATATATATATATATATATATATATATATATATATATATATATATATATATATATATATATATATATATATTATGCATAGGATTTTTTTCAATAAGGTAAGGAATTCATTAAAAGAAAAGAACAAGATACAAAGAGATGCAGAGCTAAACTCTAACCATGAGCATAATTGGTAATTCTAAAACAAAGAAAATTTAGTTTGTTGTGAAAGATTAAGGGGACAAAAAAGAGAGGAGGGACATCTCAATGAAGAAGCGAGTGGAACGATGAATCAGGGGAAATAAACTTATTTGTGCATTGATTTTCATCTCGGTAAATGTAAGTGACTAAGAAGGTCATGGACCTAAGCTTGACTTTACAATTAAGCCAAAGGTTTCACAACTCCCACGACACAAGAGAATGATCCTTCAACGCAAGCAACAACAATGTATAATCTGTTTCAAACCAAATAAAATTCCACAAGAAATTATGAGAAGTGTCTACCGCATGAATAAATCCTCATAACTTAAAATGAAAAGAGGAAAGACCTTCAACCAAGCCAGCAAAGCCATACATAAAATTTCCCTTTGAGCTCCTACACAAGTCGCCATAAAAAGTCGTAGAAGAAGCAAAAAAGTCATCCATGTTACACTTGAGTCAACCCCCTCAAAGGAGGCTGCTACAGGATCTCCACAATCCTATGAGCCTTATGTGGGTGAATGATTTAAAGTTATCTATGATAGCAAAGTCATGCACATAAAAGTTAGAAAAATTCTTAATGATGTTGCCAATGAATGGAACTTCAACACGGATCATGTTCAAAGCAGTTTTCCAATGAATGGAAGTATCCTTGAATCGAGCTTGATTCCTCATGTACCAAATGGTTTTCAATATAGAAACAATATATGCTTGAAGCACAACCCTACATTGGGAGCTCCAAGACCTGTCACACATCAAAAGGATGTCCAGGGTGTTGGCCACACGACAAACTTTCACCATTGAGAAATACCAGTTCTGACGCTTAGATGCAAGAGAGAAATGGAAGAACAAGTGATCAATGGATTCCTGACTAGAATTACACTAGTTGTACATGGAAGGGGGTTGCAACCCTTTTGGGTCAGGCAGAAATCACTAGGGATATTATTGTGACACAACCTCCAAACTAGAAAAGCCTTATAATGAGGGATGTCAGTGTTCCATAGGTGCTTAGGCTAACTCAACAAAGGATAAGAAGTGAGCTTGAAGGTTGTTGCATCCTTTAAAGTCAAGAATCTAAATTTAGAGTGTAACCAAACCAGGGATTCTTTAGTAGGATCCAAAGGCAAGGTAACTTGGTTGACAAGTAATTGAAGGTTACGGATAAATCTTAACACATTACCAGGGAAGTTCCACCTCCCATCTAGAGTGAAATCTGACACCATGGACTTTGTGTTGATAGTGTTTGTATTGTGAATGTTGGAAATTAGAGGAGACCCACACCAAGAGTCAAACCAGAATTTGGTATTAAGACCATTGTGAATCAAACAACTAGAATTGGAGACAATTTTAAGGTTGTTAGGCTTGATGTTGCTCCAAATTGAAGAAGAAATATGGTAGTAACCATGAATTTTATTTTTTAAACTCTACTTTTGAGAATTAAAGCCCAATATTCATTGGAATTCAAGACATCCCAACAAAATTTTAGGTTAGAAGCATCATTAAGCATGGTAAGAGATCTCATACCAAGGCC